GCCACGGCCTCGGGGCTCCTGTTCTGAAGATGCGGGACGCCGGCCCGCAGCTCTTGGTGAAGGGCAGCGGCCTGGGGGGGCGCCAGCGTGGCCCGCAAGGGTGGCCCCGGGCCCCGAGAGCCAGGAGGTGACCCTCGGGCAGCTGAGGCCACGGACCGTGGCCCGGATGCGCCTCAGTTGTGTGAATTTTACCTGTTTTTCAAACGCCAGACGGAAGCGTAGGCCGCGGCCCCCTCCCCAGGGGCCAAGGCCCCCCCACTCGCCCCAGGCACCCCGAGGTGAGCGGTCCCCGCCTTAGGCAGCTGTGGCGCCCGCGCGCTCCCGCCAGGGCAGAGGCCCGGTGGCCAGGCAGGTGGGCCGCACCCGCCGCCGAGGGCTGCCAGGGCCTCCTGGGCAGGAGGTGGGGCCCAGGCAGGGTGACCCTGCAGCGCCGGGTGGGGGTGGCTCCGCCCCGGGCCCTGCCCACTCTCCTGCGGGCGGCCACCGGCCGCAGCCCGGGCCCCAGCGCCTCTGGCCTCCCCGGGGGAGCAGGAGCTCGCCCCTTGCGGCCCGGTCTGGGGACCGAGCTTTCAAGATGAAACCCCCGTTTCTGGGGTCCCGGGTCCCCACTGCCCACCCCCAGGGCTGGGTGGACGCGCAGCAGGGAAGGGTCCCCCGTGGACAGAGGCCAGGGAGGAGCTTCCAGGAGCCCTGGGGTGGTCCAGCACCTCCTGGGTCCGAGGCAACTGGGAACTGAGGCTGTGGCCTGGCCACCCCGTGGGGAAGTGCCCGGGCGGCCCCCTGTGCGGGCAGGATGGGGTGTCTCGCCCGCCATGCCCCCTCCCATGGCAGCCTTCGCTCCCCAGCTTCCCCGGCTGTGGGGGCGCCGGGGCCGTCAGCCAGTCCTGCCGAGGGGGCAGTGGGACGGCAGGCCGGGTGCCTGCAGGGCCGCCGACCTGCGGCCCCTGGGCAGCCTCGAGGCACCTAGGGGTCCGCAGTGCCCCAACTGTGTGGTGAGGTTGCTGGGAGGGGAGGGGTGCAGGTCAGGGGGGCTGTGCCCCAGGCCTCCGCCTGCCCCGTGGAGGGGTCGGGTGTCCTGGCCCCTGATCTCCGGCACCTGGTGTGACCAGAAGCCCAGAGTCTGTCGCACCCCCAAACCACGCGTGAATGGGGCAGTGGGGCTGGGGCCGCCCGCTGTGCTGGTCAGTTGGCACCAGGGCTGCCCAAGGCTCCTCCAGGCCGGGTCGCCAGGGGCCCCTCCCGCCCGAGGCCCCTGTGCCAGGGGCGGATGTGGTGTGCGGGGCCGGCCTGCCGTCGGGCTGGGGGTGAGGGCGCCGTGGGCAGGGTCTGGGGCGCCAGCCGGGAGGCCAACAGCACTGTGACTGTGCCAGGTGCAGGGGCAAGGCCAGGGGCCACGCCCAGTGCCACCTGCCCAGGCGTCCCAGGCACTGCCCCCACCCTGCTCCCACTTCCCACAGGCGAGGGGGTCTCGACCCCGGGGCAGTGGCCAAGGACCCAGGGAGGGTCAGTGGGTGTCAGCCTGCAGTCACGTTACCAGGTGGGGTCCCCCTCCCCTCCCGCTCTGGGGGAGCCCTGCTCTGACCCCTCCCCCCCACCCAGCCATGTCTGGGGTCCTGATGGGGGCAGTGACCCGGGCACCAAGGGCGGGTGCCCACAGGACTGGAGGCCCCCCCAGGGCGGGACAGCCTGCCCTGTGACCCCCTGCAGCCTTCTTGGAGGGACAGGACCCCACAGGGCCCTCTGCACCCCATGCCCAGGGGCCCCTGTGCCATGGTCCATGGGATGTGTCTGGTGCTGTGTCTGCCCAAGCCTCTCTGTGGGGACCTGTCTGCCCACCCCCAGCAACAGTGTCCGGTCCCCCCAGAACAGTGAGACCCTGTAGTGGACTCCCTGGCCTGGGCTGCCCCTTGGGGGTACAGAGAGGCGGCGCGGCCCCTCCGTGAGCCAGTCCAGAGAGGAGGGCGTGAGGACGGGGGTCCCCGGGGCCGTGGGCGCAGCACCGGTGCTCATGCAGGGCCCCGCTCGCTGCCAGGCGCCTCCGGGGCAGCTGCTGTGGCCTTCAGACGGGCTGCCCGACTCAGGGACGGGAGCACGTCCCCTGCCCCCGCCAGGAAAGCCTGGAGAGATGGGCGCTGCGCCAGGCGGCAGGCCCGGAGGCCCACCCCACCCCCGGACCCACAGCGCGGGCAGCAGCCCG